GTAATGATTTCCATTATTTTGCATTTGCTGAAGAGTGTTTTACTTCCAATTATATGGTCAGTTTTAGAATGAGTGTGATGTGGTGCTGAGAATAACACATATTCTGTCGATTTGGGTGGAGAGTTCTGTAGATATCTATCAGAACTGCTTGGTCCAGAGCTGAGTTCAAGTCCTGGATATCCTTGTTAATTTTCTATCTCATGGATCTGTCTAATATTGACAGTGGGGTGTAAAGTCGCCCACTACTATTGTGTGGGAGTCTGAGTCTCTTTTTAGATCTCTAAAACTTCTTTTATTAACATGGGTGCTCCTGTATTGGGTGCATATATATTTAGTATAGTTAGCTCTTCTTGTTGCATTGATCCCTTTACCATTATGTAATGCCCTTGTCTCTTTTGATCTTTGTTGGTTTAAAGTCTGTTTTATCATAGATTAGGATTGCAGTCCTTGCTTTTTTTCTGCTTTCCATTTGCTTGGTAAATCTTCTTCCATCCCTTTATTTTGAACCTATGTGTCTTTGCACATGAGATGGGTCTCCCGAATACAGTACACCCATGGGTCTTAATTCTTTATCCAATTTGCTAGTCTATGTCTTTTAATTGGGGAATTTAGCTTGTGTACATTTAAGGTTAATATTATTATTTGTAAATTTGATCCTGTCATTATGATGCTAGCTGGTTATTTTGCCCATTCATTGCAGTTGCTTCATAGTAGCGAATGTCTTTACAATTTGCTATTGTTATTGCAGTGGCTGGTGCTGGTTGTTTCCTTCCATGTTTAGTGCTTTGTCGGGGTCTGGCACGTCTGCCAGGGGGGCTATCGACCCGCGGGAGTCCCCGAGACCACGTAGATGTCTCGTTCAACCTGAGGGAGAGAACGCGTGGAAAAGAAAGAATACAGGAAAGTAGAGTCTGGAGGTCTGCGTGCAGTCAAGCAGCACAGCACTTTATTTTTGTAGGTTACAGCTTTTATACCTTTTTTCTTGTTACATTTACTTTAGCTCAGCAGAAAAAGGGGGCAAACAGAAAAGGGAACAGAAACCACGTAAAAATAGTTATCAGGGGCCTCTGATAGCTCACAAAGCAGACTAAGGGGGCTTGTGATAACAGCTTACAAAGCAGTTTAAGAGTTAATATGTTTTTTAAAGATACACAGTGCAAGCAAACAATGGTGTCCTTAAGGTGGCTTGTTAACTATGTTTTCCATCAGGAGGTAGAACAAAGGCTCAGCTCCTGAGAAAATATGGGCAGGGGTCTTTTGCCCCTCTCAGGCACCTCAATTGCAGCAAGCCTATTGCTTACACAGAGACTAAAGGGGATATGAAGCAGTCAGCACAATGTCCTCATAAACCACAGGCCCTTACTCTGCATTCTGTTCTTGCCTTAGTAGCTTAGCCATTCTTTTCCCTCAACTCGACAGCCCTCGAGAGCAGGGGGGAGAGCAGCACAGGTCCAGCAGCCAAGATGGGCGAGTCACGTTAACTGTCTCGAGCCCTTGGCGTGAACGCTGCCAGTGCTTCCTTCATATATTTCATCAAATGTAAAATTTCAATGTTTATAAAACATTATTGCCAGACACAGTGGCTCACACCCATAATCCCAGCACTTTATGAGGACAAGGAGGGTAGCAGGAGTTCAAGACCAGCCTGAACATCATGGTGAAACCCCCATCTCTACTAAAAATATAAAAATTGGCTGGCATGGTGGCTCGTGCCTGTAATCCCAGCTACTCAGGAGGTAGAGGGAGGACAATCGCTTCAACCGGGGAAATATGGATTGCAGTGAGCCGAGATTGGCTACTGCACTCCAGCCAGTGCGACAGAGTAAGACTCCATATAAAAAAGAAAAAAAAAAAAACAACCCACAGAAGGGAAGAAAATATTTCCGCATTATATAACAGTCTGTTAACCAGAAAGTATACTTTGGATAACTCAACAACAGCAAAATTACAAAACAGAGAAATGGTTGACCACACACTTCACCAATAAGACATGCAAATGGAAAATAAACACATAAAAAGATGATCAATACTATTATTGTTATGGCCGTGTAAACTGAAACCACAATGACATACTCCTTCACATACACTAGAAAGGCTAAGATCCAAGAAATGTAAAACAACAAGAGTTGGCGAGGTTGGAGTGAAATTACAACCCTTAAATACTTTATGTGAAATATAAGATGGTACAGCCTATTTTTACCCTTAAATACTTTATGTGAAATATAAGATGGTACAGCCTATTTTTAACATAGTTTGGTAAATCCTCAAAAAGTTAAAAATAGGCCAGGCATAATAGCTAATGCCTGTAATCCAAGCACACTGGGAAGTTGAGACAGGTGGATCACTTGAGTCCAGGAGTTCAAGACCAGCCAGGACGACACAGCAAAACCTCATCTCTCCTAGAAATACAAGAATTAGCCAGGTATGGCGGCACACACCTATAGTTCCAGCTACTTGAGAGGCTGAGGCAGCAGGATTGCTTGAACCCAGATTGTGAAGGTCACACCACTACATTCCAGCCTGGGTGACAACACAACACCCTGTCTCAAAAAACAAAGGCCAGGCATGGTGGCTAACACCTGCAATTCCAGCACTTTGGGAGGCCAAGGCAGATAGATCACTTGACATCAGGAGTTCAAGACCAGCTTGGCCAACATGGCAAAATCCCGTCTCTATTAAAAATACGAAATTACCCGGGTGTGGTGGAATGTACCTGTAATCACAGCTACTTGGGAGGCTGAGACAGGAGAATTGCTTGAACCCAGCAGGCAGAGGTCACAGAGAGCCAGTATCAGACCACGGCACTCCAGCATGGCCAACAGAGTAAGATCCCATCTCAAAAAAAGAAAGAAAAACAAAATGCCTGGGAGTGGCAAGGTACAGTGGCTCACACCTGTAATCCCAGCATTTTGGGAGGCCGAGGTGGGTGGATCACCGGAGGTGAGGAGTTCGAGACCAGCCTGACCAACATGGAGAAACCCTGGCTATAGTAAAAATACAAAAAACCCGTGTGTGGTGGTGTGCGCCTGTACTCACAGCTACTCAGAAGGCTGAGACAGGAGAATCACTTCAACCTGGGAGGTAGAGGTTGCAGTGAGCCAAGATTGCGCTACTCCACTACAGCCAGAGTGACAGAGCAAGACTCCATCTTAAGAAAAGAAAAAGAAAGTAAAAAGACCCACAGAAGGGAAGAAAATACTTCTGCATTATATATCTAAAACCGGTCTGTTAACCACAACATATAATTTGTACAACTCAACAACAAAAACAACAAAATTTAAAAATGGAGAAACAGTTGAACATACATTTCACCAAAATGACATGCAAAGGGAAAATAAGCACATAAAAAGATGATCAATACCATTATCATTATGGCCGTGTAAACTGAAACCACAATGACATACTCCTCTTCACACACACTAGAAAGGCTAAGATCCAAGAAATGTAAAACAACAAGAGTTGGCAAGGTTGGAGGGAAGTAACAACCCTTAAATACTTTATGTGAAATATAAGATGATACAGCCTATTTTTAACATAGTTTGGTATCTCCTCAAAAGTTAAACATAGGCCAGGCACGGCAGCTAATGCCTATAATCCCAGCACACTGGGAAGTCGAAAGAGGTGGATCACCTGAGTCCAGGAGTTCAAGACCAGCCAGGACGACATAGTAAAACCACGTCTCTCCTAGAAATTCAAGATTTAGCCGGGTATGGTGGCACACACCTGTGGTCCCAGCTACTTGCGAGGCTGAGGCACGAGGACTGCTTCAGCCCACAATGTGGACATTGCAGTAAGGCAAGACTGCACCACTGCACTCCAGCCCAGGCGACAGCACAACAACCTCTCAAAAAACAAAGGCTGGGCATGGTGGCTAACACCTGCAATCCCAGCACTTTGGGAGGCCGAGGCGGATAGATCACTTGATGTCAGGAGTTCCAGACCAGCTTGGCCAATATGGTGAAATCCCATCTCTACAAAACATACAAAAATTACCCGGGCATGGTGGAATGCACCTGTAATCCCGGCTACTTGGGAGGCTGAGACAGGAGAATTGCTTGAACCCAGCAGGCAGAGGTTACAGTCAGCCAATATCAGGCCACTGCACTCCAGCCTGGCCAATAGAGCAAGATCCCATCTCAAAATAAAGAAGGAAAAACAAATGCCTGGGAGTGGCAGGGTGCAGTAGCTCACACCCGTAATCCCAGCATTTTGGGAGGCCAAAGCGGGTTGATCACCTGAAGTAAGGAGTTCAAGACCAGTCTGACCAACGTGGAGAAACCCCACCTCTACTGAAAACACAAAAATTAGCTGGGCATGGTAGCAGGAGTTTCTAATCTCGGCTACTTGGGAGGTACATGCAGGAGACTCTTTTGAATCCAGGAGGCGGAGGTTGCAGTGAGCCAAGATCACCCCACTACACTCCAGCCTGGGCAACAGAACAAGACTATGTCTCAAAAAAAGAAAGAAAGAAACTGAAAAGACAACCCACAGAAGGGAAGAAAATATTTCCGCACTATGTATCTAAAAACAAGTCTGTTAACCACAATGTATAATTTGGATAACTCCACAACAAAAACCACAAAATTTCAAAATGGAGAAACAATGGAACACACACTTCGCCCATAAAACATGCAAATGGAAAACAAGCACATAAAAAGATGTTCAATACCACTATCATCATGGCCATCTAAACTGAAATCACAATGATATTACTCCTTCACACATACCAGAAAGGCTATGATTTAAGAAATGCAAAATAACAAGTGTTGGCAAGGTCAGAGAGAAATCACCACCCTTAAATACTGTATGTGGAACATAAAATGGTGCAGCCTACTTTTAACACAGTTTGATATTCCCTCAAAAAGTTGAATAGGCTGGGCATGCCAGCTAACACCCAGCACATTTCACAGGCCAAGACAGGTGGATCATGAGGTCAGGAGTTTGAGACCAACCCTGCCAACATAGTGAAACCCCATCTCTATTAAAAAGACAAAAATTACCTGGGTGTGGTGGCAGGTGCCTGTAGTCCCAGCTACTCAGGAGACTGAGGCATGAAAATCACTTGAACCCGGGAGGTGGAGGCTATGATGAGCAGAGATTGTGCACTGCACTCCAGCCTGAGCCAAACAGGGAGACTCCAGCTCCAAAAGAAAGAAAAGAAAAATTGAGGGTCATCTCACAGATGATCTAATGAATAATGGATTCTTTCCTTGACTTTAGAAAAATCACATTATTAACTTTTCTACTTTTAGATAACATAACTGCTATGGGACTGCAGGCAGGTGTAGCAGACTGGATGGGAGATGGCAGCAGGCAGGAGCACTCAGGGTCTGGAGGCCGTGGTTCTAAGGCCATTGGGAAACCACTGGCAAAGTTAAACCCACAGCCTGACAGGAGGAAATCTGTGACTGTCAATAAATATGCTGCCATTACCAAGTGAGATCGCCAGTGGTTGTGGGATGGACGGAAGCTCCTCCAGGTGGGCTGCATTGAGGAGAGCACGGCACCAGGCTAGGGTGGTCCTACCAGGAATGCAGGGTCTGCACCTGTACAGGAGGAAAGGCTGGGTAGACCCAGCGTGGAGTCATCTCTGCTCTTTACATCTGTCAAGGCTGTGAAAACTGAGAGTCAGCTGGGCATAGTGGCTGATGCCTGCAATCCCAGCACTCTGGGAGGCCGAGGTGGGTGGATCACCTGAGGTCACGAGTTTGAGACCAGCCTGGCCAACATCTTGAAATCCAGTCTCTACTAAAAATACAAAAAATTAGCTGGGTGTGATGGTGGATGCCTGTAATTTCAGCTACTTGGGAGGCTGAGGCAGGAGACTCTCTTGAACCTGGGAGGCTTAGGCTGCAGTAAGCAGACATCACACCATTGCACTCCAGCCTGCACAAAAACAGTGAAACTCCATCTTAGAAAAAAGGAAACTGAGGCTGGGCGCGGTGGCTCAAGCCTGTAATCCCAGCACTTTGGGAGGCCGGAGGTGGGTGGATCACGAGGTCAAGAGATCGAGACCATCCTGGTCAACAAAGTGAAACCCCGTCTCTACTAATACAAAAAAATTAGCTGGGCATGGTGGCGCATGCCTGTAGTCCCAGCTACTCAGGAGGCTGAGGCAGGAGAATTGCCTGAACCCAGGAGGCGGAGGTTGCGGTGAGCCGAGATCACGCCATTGCACTCCAGTCTGGGTAACGAGAGCGAAACTCCATCTCAAAAAAAGAAAAAAAAAGAAAACTGAAAGTGTCAGGAACAATTCCCAAAAAGGAAAACTGGGCCCACATGGAAAGAGACATTTTTAAGCCAACTGGGACAGGCTGTGAAGTAGGTCTGTGGACTGAACTTTCACATAGAAATCATGTATTTTCGGCTGGGCACAGTGGCTCACGCCTATAATCCCAGCACTTTCGGAGGCCGAGGCAGGAGGATCACGAGGTCAAGAGATCAAGTCCATCCTGGCCAACATGGTGAAACCCCGTTTTTACCAAAAATACTAAAAATTAGGTAGGCGTGGTGGCACATGCCTGTAATCCCACTACTGGGGAGGCTGAGGCTGGAGAATTGCTTGAGCCCAGGAGGTGGAGGCTGCAGTGAGCTGAGATCACATGACTACACTTCAGCCTGGCAACAGAGCAACACTCCATCTCCAAAAAATAAAAGAAAAACAAAGAAACCGTGTATTTCCTGATTTGGGGGTTATGTGGGGGTCACCTGGAGGAGTGTTTCTGCTTTTGGTGAAACACACAGGGGTATTTTGTGTGAAGCTGCAAATCTGGTACAGCAATAACGGCTAGGGAATCGGAGAGAAAAGAGAAGACATACTAACTGCAGCTGCTAGCTTCCCAGAAGTATGATTTACTGGGAAGTCAACTACTTTTTAACACAACCTTGTCAGTAGCACTCAGAAAGGCAGAAACAACAATATCACACTTCATAAGAGGCCAAACCAAGCCCAAACCCAGGCCAGCACAGGCTGTGAAACCAGTGCCCCCAGTGAGAGCCGGAGGGTCCCAACCTCAGTGCTGCAGACGCTCCAAAGGCCATGTTTGCCTCCCAAGTAATATGTGTGTTCTAAGGGACACGAGTGTTCTGGGGGTTATATGCATGTGATGATGTGATGGTTGTGTTAGTCTAACAGTGTTATGGGCATTCTGGGTGATATGTGTACCCTGAGGGACACATGCGTGTTCTGGGGGTTATATGAATGTGACGGGTGTTGGGATAGTCGGTGTCACTTCTGTGTTCCAGGTGATATATGAGCACTCTGAGTCTGATGTTGCCACGGGCTTTCTGGGTAATATGCATATGCTCTAAGGGACACACGCATGTTCTAGGTGTTATATGAGTGTGACGGGTGCTGTGTTAGTATGTGTCACGGGCGGGCGTTCTGGGTGATATGTGCACACTCACAGGCATTCCAGGCATTCTGTGCACTCTGAGAGATACATCCATGTTCCTGGGATCAGACCTGCCTGGCAGCTGCCGCCTTACCATACGGATGTGACGTCTGTATAATGGATGCTTACACTAGCACCACAGATGAAGCATTACTGGTATTATAGGGGGCTATTCTCAGTGTGGCGGGTGTTCTATTTGCTCTCCTGATGCTGCATTTCTGTTTAGAGCCTGCAGCAAGGCCCTGTGGCCGCCTCGTCTTGGGTGCAGGGAAAGCACCTCGGCTGCGCTGGATTCACTGGGGTTTTTGGTTTCTAATTTTCCACACAAAGGATCTCTGTCCCTCAGCAGTCAGGGAGGCAAAAAGAAAACATTTTTCTCACCATGGATGCGGGCTCTAGGTGTCCCAAAGTGAGGGGTGTCCCCAGGTCTGTGCTGAGGAGAACCCTACTCCTGCCCTCACAGGGGCCTACACTGAGGAAATGGGTGGGAAGCTGTGGCCTTGGGATGAGAAAAACTGGGCTCATGTGCCCTCTGCTGGCGGCCCTCGCTCTCAAGACGCTGGCAGTGGACACGCGCCCTCTGGTGGCCGTCCCACTGCACCACGGAAAGTCAGGATGAAGTGTTCATCGCCATCGTTCTGGAAATGCAAACTGACACAGAGCCTGCTAGCCCATGTGTTCCTGAAAATGAAGAAGGGACAATTAATTGGAAACCATAGGAAATGTAATGAACATGGATGCACATTTTACAACTTATGCAAAAATTCACTCAACATAGTCTTCAGACAACTTTAAACTTACTCTAACCTACCTCACTAACCCTTTCGCCCTAACCCTTCACCGCAGTCCTGTCCTCTCAACCTAACCCTGTTACTCACCTCATCTCTCCACTAATCTCCACTATAAACACCAAATGGAACCTCCTGTCTTGCAGCCCTTATATTATCATCTTCAACTGGTAAACTCGTAACCTTTAAAGCCCTATCTCCTGATTCTGTAATACCCTGACACACTAACTCTGGAAATACCGCAGTCTATTCACAATCCCATCCTGACCTATCCTACTCAGTGCCACGCCACTTCAAGGACTGATCTATAACCTCAGAAATGTAGACTTAAGAATCTTCAACATAATAGAAAATGTAAACCAACAGCATTTTGAAAGCATCAGACACCATGAACATGATTTTTTAACCAAGTAAATCAATGGCGGCCCACCTAATCTTGTATTTTCAGTAGAGATAGCTTTTTGCCATGTTGGCCAGACTGGTCTCGAACTCCTGACCTCAGGTAATCTACCTGCCTCAGCCTCCCAAAATGCTGGAATTACAGGCGTGAGCCACTGCACCTGGCCAAAGAATCCATTTTATATGTATATACTAGCAATAAATAATCTGAAAACAAAATCATAAAAATTCCACTTTAAATAACACCAACAGCAATAACAAGCTTAAGGAAAATGCTTAAGGATAAAAGCAGGACAATATTCAACCCCAGGTAATACAGAGAACACCCCAAAGATATTCCTCAAGAAGAGCAACCCCAAGGCACATAATCGTTAGATTCACCAGGGTTGAAACGAAAGAGAAAATACTAAGGGCAGCCAGAGAGAAGGGTCAGTTTACCCACAATGGGAAGCCTGTTAGACTTACAGCAGATCTCTCAGCGGAAACTCTACAAGCCAGAAGAGAGTGGGGACCGATATTCAACATTCTTAAAGAACAGAACTTTCAGCCCAGAATTTCATATCCTGCCAAACTAAGCTTCACAATTGAAGGAAAAATAAAATCTTTTATGAACAAGCAAGTACTCAGAGATGTTATTACCACCAGGCCGGCTTTACAAGAGCTTCTGAAAGAAGCATTATACAAAGAAAGGAAAAATCAGTATTACCCTTTCTAAAAATATACCAAAAAGTAAAGAGCATCAACATAAAGAAGAATTTACATCAACGAATGGATAAAATGGCCAGTTAACATCAAATGGCAGTAACCCTAAATTTAAGTTGACTAAATCCCCCAATCAAAAGATACAGCCAAAACCTAACGGTATGCTACATCCAGACCTATTTCACATCCAAAGATACACAAAGACTTAAAACAAAGGGATGGAGATTTACCAACCAAATGGAGAGCAAAAATAAATAAATAAATAAAAAGCAGGAGTTGCAATTCTCGCATCTGATAAAATAGATTTCAAAGCAACAAAGATATAGTGGTAAAAGGATCAATGCAACAATAAGAGCTAACGATCCTAACACCCAGATACATAAGATTCATAAAGAGATTTAGACTCAATGAGACAGAAAATTAATAAGGATATCCAGGACTTGAACTCAGATCCAGAACAAGTAAACTCAATAAATATTTATAGAGCTCTCCACTTTAAATACACAAAACATACATTCTCCACCTTAAATACACAAAATATTAATCGGCCATTATTAATACGAATTTTTAGACTAAAGCTACATTCCCGTTCTCTCTCCCTCTTTTTCTTCCTCTCCAAAAAAAAAAAAAAAAAAAAAAGGATAAATGCAATCAAAGAGCAAGACTGAGATGGGGGAAATTAGAAAATATTGCTTAGAAAATTAAACATAGCCCAAACAAATGTAGCAAACATGTCATGTTCATGGATTTGAAGACCATGTTTGTTAAGTTTGCCGAACTACACAAAGCAATCTACAGATTCAATATTATTCCTACAAAAATCCCAAAAGCCTTGGGACAGAAATGGGAAAGCTGATCCTAATGTTCATATGGAATTTCAAGGAACCCTGAAAAGCCAAACCCATCCTGAAAAATAACTCCAAATCTGGAGGTTTGCACATTCCAGTTTCAAATCTTATTACAAGCAATTGTAATCAAAACAGCGTGATACTGGCACAAGAATAAACAGAAAAATCAACTGAACTGAATTGGGAGTCCAGACATAAAACAATACCTCCACACTCAACTGATTTGAGACAAGGTCCATAACCATTAAATTGGGGAAAAAATGCTGTCCTCAGTAAGTGATGCAAGGCAACTTGCAATCCACATAAAGGGACATGAAATTGTATCCTTACCCTCGTATCACATAAGAAAGTTAAAATAGATCAAAGATCTAAATATGGCAAAACTAAAATCTCTACAAGAAAACATACAGTTAAATCTTTATGACGTTGGATATAGCAATAGTTTCTTACTTTGACACCAAAAACTACAAATCACAAAAGGAAAAATAAATTGATTGATTTCCTCAAATTTCAAAATGTACATGCCTCAGAAGACATGAAGAAAAAAGTTCAAAGACAGAATTGTTATAAGAGGAAAAACAACTGTCTTCTAGTAGACTCTCAACACTCAACACAGAACACTTCGGTTAACAGATGCATGGGTTTTTTTCTCCAGACAGACCAAATCTTGAGCCAGCTGGGTGTCCCACAGTACAATCCAATTCTGACACTAATAGGAGAAAGCATCAGACCCCATAGGCTAAGGGCTCGGTCCTAGGAAGGCAGGTCATGCTCCTCGTTGCTTGCAAATTCAATTGACAAACACAATGATGGTAAAAAGAAAGTGACTTTATGCCACAGCTTAGCTGAAGGGACCATACAAACTCTTGCCTTAAGGAAATCGCTTCCACTTTCATGGTAGAAAGTGGGAGCTTTAAAAGGACTTGGCAGAATGGCATGTTGGGGATGGGGTGAGGACGTGCAGGGTCTGTGGGACTTGCTCTGATGTTTTATCCATTAGGTGGTCTTGCTAGTACCACCATGGGCAGAGCTAGGTTGTAAACTGACTGCTGTCTCCTGGCAATCTCCTTATAGCGGAGAGTTCCAGAGGTGCCTAGTTTGTAGAGTTTGGTCCCTGGAACTTCTAAGTCAACACATGGTTAGAAGAGTTTGCAGTGTAGGAAGTATCTCATGGAGAGACAGTAAGGCTTATAGATGTATTCATAAAGAGCTAAGTAGGAAGCGCAGGAAAAGGAAAACGGTAAAAGTAATCCATTCCTTCCTTAAGAAAATATGGGTACTCAGTTATAACAATCGCAAATAGTAGGTTCCCAGTTACCTTATGTCTGACCTGGCCACAGATTGGAGGCTCCCACAACACCCTTATTGGGTTCAGCAATTTACTACAGCACATTACAGAACCCATGAAAACAGTGTACTTACTAATGCTCACTTACTGTCAAGGATATTTTAAAGGCTACAAATGAACAGTCAGATAAAGAGAGGCACAATGTGAAGTATGTGGAAGGGGTGCAGGCCTCCCATGCCCTCTCCAGATATGATCCTCCCAGCATCTCCCCAAGTCCAGCAACACAGAAGCTCACACTCTCCCAGCCCGGTCCTTTATTACGTAGGCAGATTGCTTACATGAGTGGCCACAGGTGATCAACTCAACCATCAGCACCTCTCCTCTTCACAGAGATGGGAGGGGAGATGAAATTTCAAATCCTCCAACAACAAGGTTGGTGCCCTTGGCAGCCAGCCCCACAGAGGCTGTCCAGGTGCCCCCAGCCATCAGTCATCTCATGAGCACACGAAAGACACATCACTTCATACATCCCAAAGTCTTAGAGCTCTGTCTCAGGACCCCACAGCAGAGATCACACATGAACTCTTGTTATTTTCCAGTAACCCACAAAATGGAAGAAAAAATCTGCACATTAGATACTTTGTAAGTGTCTGTTATCCAGAATCCATAAATAATTTTTATAACTCAACAATGAAGACAACCCTACCTAAAAATTGACAAAGGACTTTCACACACACTGCACCAAGAAGCAAGATGCTTAACATCATTAGTAATAATTAAAACCATAAAGAGATATCCCTTAACTCACACTAGAATAGTTACACTAAAAGAAAACAAGTGTTGACAAAGATGTGCAGAAACTTGAACTATGAAACACTGCTTGTGACAATATGAAATGGTGCAGCCTATGTGTAAAATATTTTGGTGTTTCTTCAAACAGTTACAAATAGATTTACTGTATGACTCAGTGATTCCATTCCTAGGTATATACCCCAAAGACCTGAAAACAAAGGTGTTCAAACAAAAACCTGTATGCTCTTTAAATGTGTCAAGATCATAAATATGCAGGAAAGTCCTGGAAACAGTGCCAGGAAAACTGTATCAGAATGAAAAAACGCATTATATTCCAAGATCGGGCAGGAGGTTAAATCAAAATGAGTTTGTGAACTTAATTTTCATGTAGGAACCATGCTGATTTCCTGATCGAGGGGTTATGTGGTGGTAACCTGGGAAAGTGACCACGCTTTGGGTAAAATATACCAGAGTATTTTGTGGGACATTGCAAATCTGATACAGCAATAACTGCTGGGGAATCTAAGGAAAAAAACAGGTTATATTTCATACTGCCACTGGAAATTTCCTAGAAATATGACATTATTAAAAAGTAAATTACATTTTAAAACAAACATATCAATACCATGCCAGAAAAGCAGAGACATCAGCAAAATCTACTATAGAGGCTATGCTTCATCCAAAACTTTGAACCCTTATAAAAGCCTCAATGTCAACAGACTCCACTTAGATATCATATTGGTATTACAGGCTGTGTGGATATATTGGTATTATGGCACGGTGCGGATATTAGTGTTAGGTATAGTGTGCACATTATATTAGTGTTGTGGAACAGTGTAGATATCACATTAGCATTAGGGCACGGTATGGCTAGTATTACGTTAGTATCAGAAGCAATGGTGTGGACATCAGCCTAGCATTAGGGTAGGGTGTGGATATTATATTGGTGTTAGGACATGGTGTGGACATCATAGTAATGTTAGGGCATAGGGCATGGTGTACATATGATACTGGTGTTGGGGAACATTAGGGCACGGTGTGGCTAGTATTACGTTAGTATCAGAGGCAATGGTGTGGATATCAGATTAGCGTTACAGTAGGGTGTGGATATTACATTGGTGTTAGGGCACGGAACGGGTATCACAGTAATGTTAGGGCACGGTGTGATTATTATATTGGAGGCCACTGTGAGAACACATCTCAGCAGCCACTGTGTCTGGGACATTGACAATGACATCAGGGTGCAGTCGTAAGGATAGGATTTAGGGATTTCATTTTTCTAGATGAATTTCTTCTTTTGCTGAGTACTCTAAAGACTCTCTGCTCTGCACTCAGGGCCATGGAAAGGAAGCTTTTTACTCACCAATGAACAAGATTTACTTGACACGACCCTCGTGCTGCCCTGAGAAAGTCGAAGCTCCTTGCTGCTTCTGGCACTTCAGAGGGAAGTTGGTCAGGGGTGGGTTCGTGCGCCCTCTGGTGACGCCAGAGCTCAGCACAGATGCTTTTCCTCACAGTTTCTCAGCGTATGTGCACCCACCCCTGGCTGTCCTGAAATACCTATAAAATTCAATATTCAGTTTATTCAATGTAATAATTTTAGAGATTCAAACCAAAATGAAGCGCACTGTAGCCATATACTTCCCAAAATGGTGATGGAAGACTTGGGAAGCCATGTAGAATGAAATGAATATATACACAAATTAAAAAACAAAAACCTACTCAAAATAGTAGAGACCGTAATTTGAAATGCAAAACTATAAAAAAATCTAAAAGAAATCTATGTTACATTGCATTTCGTATTGAGTTTTAATACACATCATCAAACGCCAATTCATGAAAATATTGACAACATAGACTTTATAAAACTAAATATTCTACTATGAAAAACTGTATTCAGAGAACAAAAAGACAAGACAGACATGAGAAGATACTTACAAAATACATACGTGATTTTTAAAACTGGGTAAATATCTGAACAGATACCCAGCCAAAGCAAATATACAGCTAGCAGGCTGGGCATGGTGGCTCCTGCCTGTCATCTCAGAACTTTGGTAGGCTGAGACGGTTAAATCATGAGGTCAGGAATTTCAGATCAGCCTGGCAAACAAGGCGAAACCCCATCTCTACTAAAAATACAAAAAAATAGCCAAGCGTGGTGGTGGGTGCCTGTAATCCCAGCTACTTGGGAAGATGAAGCAGGAGAATCACTTAAACATGGGAGGTGGAGGTTGCATTGAGCCAAGATAGTGCCACTGCACTGCAACCTGGGTGACAAAGCAAGACTCCATCTCAAAACAAAAAGATGTTAATAACAGATCTATTACATGTTGATATGTTAATATGAGGGGAAACTAGGTTGGGTCTAGATAGGAAATCTGCATTTTCTTCTCATTTTAGATTTCATTGTGCATCTAAAACTAATTTAAAATAAACCCTTTACTAAAAAGTTGTATTTTTATTTCAAATATCTGCTTAATTATGTGTACTAATAATTAGCAGTAATTGACACTACTCATTTTTTAAATAAAAGCAATCACACGATGCTGCAAAGTAAATTATACAGTCTAATATATAATTTCAAGGAAATGCCTCTTTTACATGTTTTATGTTAAAATAACAAATACATGTAAACATATTTATCATATATCTTTTCTTGTGGTGTGGTTCACTCTTTAGGCGACTATTTCAATTTACAGCTGGACATTTTCAAAAGTATAACTTTGTAAAAAAAAAAAAAATTCAAATAGCAACTGGATTCGCTGTGACTGGATCGCTTATTCTAATGAATGCTTGTCTTTGTTTCCTAGCAGAGGATTCCTTCTAATTACAATACAACAGAAGCAAGTATTTGTCATTTGAAAAAAATATTCAAAGACAGGAAGACTGTAAACAGATTTTGTGACCACATTCAATGTTTCACCATGATGCTTTTTAATACAGAGGTGTTTAAAGGGATAGTCAGAGTTACTCCCCCAATGATACTTTGCAGAAATTGATGAAACTAGAGAAACACTGGCAGGACATTCAATGTGACTTTAGATGTCACTGTGTCTTGCTGGGAAAAATAATTAACCTTTTAGAGGATCACAAAGACTTACTGGAAGCCCAGACTCTGGAGTGTTTCTAAATTTCGGTATCAGTATAGCTAGTAATAAGGATAAAAAAAAGGGATCTGTGCGTTAGTTGTGCAATAAAATACCAAAGCAGTATTTAATGCTCTGAGGAAAATATGTTATACCTGAAATACAGTTGACAATCAGAATCAAAATACGCTTCCTAGCCAAGCACAGTGGCTCATGCCTGTAATCTCAGCACTCTGGGAGGCCGAGGAGGGAAGATCAACTGAGGTCGGGAGTTCGAGACCAGTCTGACCAACATGGAGAAACCCCATCTCTACTGAAAAGTACAAAAATTGGCCTGGCATAGTGGTACACGCATGTAATCCCAGCTACTTGAGAGACTGAAGAAGGAGAGTTGCTTGAATCCGGAAGGCGGAGGTGGTTGTTGGCCGAGATCATGCCACTCCTCTGCACTATTGTTTATATAAAAATGCAGATTTGCTAAGCCAGACTAAATTGTGTATTCAGTAGAAGGCTGATCAAGGATTCAGAAAAATGCAAACTTTTGTCTCTTATCTACTTTTGACCTGGAAGCACCCTCACTTCCTGCTTCTAGTCACCCCACCTTACTGGACCAACTGATTACGCATCTTACACATATTGATTGCTGTCTCATGTCTCCCTCAAATATATAAAAGCAAGCTCTTTCCTGACCACCCTGGGCACAAGTCATCAGACCTCCTAAGGATGTATCATGAGTTAAACCTTGGCAAAATAAGTTTTCTAAATTGACTGAGACCTGTCTCAGGTATTTTGGGATCACAATCAACAATCACCATGGTGTCACCGTTGACTCCAGCATTCAGTACAGAGACGTGACTAAATACAGGTTTGTAGCTTGGTAGCAACAGGCTATACCATATAACTTACGTGTGGAGTGGGCTACACAATCTACGTTTCACAAGGACACTACTGCATTCGCACAAAGATGAAACCACTAAGGACAAATGTCTCAGAAAGTATTCACATCGTTAGGAGATGCCTGAGTATATTTTAAATGCTTAAAGCCTAGGAGGAAAAAAAAGAAACTCAACTCCTGTTACGGTTTAATAACAAACCTTAATAGAGTTAATATGTTTCATCTAATGTAAGATGCCAATGATTAAAATACATTATTTTATGCACATTACAAATAGGTTGCCAATTAAGCCAACTTTCTGAATAACAACAAAAATGTGAATTTACTTCTATTAATGCCAGGAAAGTAAAATGAAAATGAATTATGGTTTTGACATGTTAAAGCAAATAAAGGGAGGCTGTTAGCCTGAGGTTTTCCCTGAGCAAATGGAAACCAAACTTGGAGGCATTTAAACTGACTTTAAAAAATGAACAAACCAACCACGGTCAATGACAAAAAGCCCAGCCTCCAGTTGGCTGTATGACTAGGGACGCTGAGGGAACCATCCCCACAACAGGCGGTCACCTAGCTGGAGCCAATGAGAAACCTCACTAGCTGCCACCACTAGGAGCTTGCAGCCCCAAGCCCTGATTTCCGTTCTGGTGTTTCGTGCATAATTCATGAATCGTTCCTTTGCTCAAATAAACTGTTTAAATTTATTTTGCCTAAAATTCTTCTTTTAACAGACAAGGTACACTATTTACGCTTAAAATAATGTAAAAACTCACATTTATCTGTTCTTCGATATTTTTCAAGGACTTTGACACTAAGAAAAACGAGCCACTGGAACACAAAAAAGCAAGTAGTAGATGCGTATCTCCCTGGGGCTCCCCATGCTGCTTTCAGGGTTTCTCCCTTCTTTTTCCTGGATCTACCCCAAACAAACCTAAATTGGTTGAGAAAAATAAAAATTAAAAAATGAAACAAGTCAGGTATGCTGTAATAATGAGTATCAAAGCCACTCAATGAGGCCATTTCTGTAAAATAAAATCAACAACACGGCCACCTCAGCACTCAGAGCCCTGAGAAAAAGCTTTTTCCTCATCTTTCCTCAGGCAGCCTCGGGGGTCCTGAAGCAACAGCTTCCCCAGTCAGTCCTGAGGAGGAGGAGGCTGGATCCTCCCTGATCATAGTCCCCAGGTATCCCTATAGGGACAGCAGCATCTCCCGTGCGGGTCCTGAGGAGGAGGAAGCTGGGTCCTTCCTGGCCACGGTCCCCAGGTGTCGCTGTAGGGACAGCGGCGTCTCCTGGGTGGGTCCTAAGGAGGAGGAGGAGGCTAGGACCTCTCCAGGTGTCCCTGTAGGGACTGCAGTGCCTGCTGGGTGGGTCCTGAGAAGGAGGCTGGGTACTACCAGGGGTCCCTCTAAAGACAGTGGGGTCTCCCAAGTAGGTCCTGAGGAGGAGGAGACTGGGTCCTCTCCAGTTGTCCCTGCAGGCACCTGAGGAGAAGACTTGGCTCTGCCCCCTGGAGGCCCAGGGCAACTGCACCAGAACGCACACGCCTCTAGAGGGTCCATAAGGCAGCATTCGCGCCCCCGTCAGTCGCCCCTGGAGGTGCAAGATGCTTAGGTGGCCTGCGCCCCTCCCATCAATTTCTGAAGTCCACTGCTCTGACAATTCCACGCCATTAGGTTTGAAAAAACAGCTAAAAGGGAACCCACCATCCCCACCAGAGGGATGGAGATAAGAAGTAAAGTACGTGGCAAACGGACAAAAGCCAAATGACATCCTATGCCTAAGCAGTTATGTATGAAGAAGTTGGAAAACTGGAGTGTGCCATTTTAAAAAAGCAATACCATTTACAATAGCACCCCTCAGAACTGAAGTTAACTATAAATATTTAAAGCAAACGTATAAATATGCATTCATCAAACTTAGAAAAACAGTTTAAAGAAATCAAATGATATGTAAATAAATGCAAAGATGTTCTTTATTCAGGATGGTAGAGTCAGTATTTTTAAGATAAAAATTCTTTCAACCTCAACATATTCAGCACAGTCCAAATTCTCAGAAAATTATTTTTCATTTATTTTTATTGTTTGCTTGTTTTAGAGACAGGGTCTTGCCCTGTCACCCATACTGGATTGCAGTGCTGTAGTAACAGCTCACTAGAGCTTGAAACTTCTGGGCTCACGCAATCCTCCCACCTCAGCCTCTCAAACAGCTAGGACTACAGGCACATGCTACTACTCCCAGCTAACTTTTAAAAAACATTTTCAGACGTGAGAATCTTATTTTCCCCAGACTGGTTTTGAACTCCTGGTCCCGAGTGATCCTCCTGCTTTGGCCTCCAAAAGCACTAAGATTACAGGCGAGAATCACTGCACCAAGCCTTGTTTCTAACCTAAAATAGGCAACATCGAAGATGTACGAACAAAGAACTCACACATCTGGATCCCAACACACGGGAAAGCTAAAGCGGTAAAGAAAATGTGATGCTGGTGAAGAAACAAACTAACAGATAAATGAAAATGAAACCCAAAGAGACCCAGGAAAATACAGTAAATTGATTTTGGCAAAGGGACAACAGACATTCAATGAAGAAAAGGATGTCTGTTTCACCATTGGTGATAGAACAATGGGAACCATACAGGAAAAAATGAACAAAACATAAACCCTGTAACTTATACAAAAATGTATTCAAAATAATTCATAGACTTACATTTAAAGTCCACACCTGTAAAAATTTTAGAAGAAAATGAACACGACCTTCTATATGAAGATGAGTTTTTAGTTACAACAGCAAAAGTAAAATGATAAAAGAAATAAATAGATAATGTCAACTTTATTAAAAATAAAGCAGGGCACAGTGGCTCATGCCTATAATCCCAGCACTGTGGGAGGCCCAGACAGTTGGATAACCTGAGTCGGGAGATCAATACCTGTATGACCAACAGAGAAAAGGCTGTCTCTACTAAAAATACACAATTACCCGGGCATGGTGGCACATGTCTGTAATTCTAGCTTCTTGGGAGGCTGAAGCAGGAGAATCACTTGAACCCGGGAGGCAGAAGTTGCCGTGAGCCGAGATAGCGCCATTGCACTCCAACTGGAAAACAATAAGAAAACTCCATCTCAAAAAATAAATTAAAAAAAAAAAGTAAAATATGTACTCTGACAACCTCCAGTATGCTGAGACCAGACCAGGGTGGGGCAGAGGAACTGCAGAATTTCCTTCCTAACCTTAACCCCAACCCCAATCCCAACCTAGCCCTACCCTACCCCTAACCTGTAACTGTAACCCTAACCCTAACACTAACCCTAATAACCTAAACATAAGCCCTAACCCTATCCCTTAACCCTAAGTCTAAACCCATAACCCTAACCCTTAAAGCAGTTTTCCTCAACACAAACTTAGTTGGAGACATTTGGCCTCCTAGTGCTGGTTCATCTTATCATTACACTAGCTGTCGGAAACTTTTATCAGACCTGAAATTCACTCAATCCACCATTCTAGCATATAACATAATGTATACATACTATAATGGTCATTTCAAATAAATCAGAAAGATAGTATCAAGTCCCTATGCTCTTCCTGGCTATATCCAAAGGATTCCCAATGTATTCTAGTCCTGTGTTGCATTTTCTATTCATCTTTGCTTTCTGATGGACTTCTAACTGCAAAAAGCAAGTCAAAAGTCCCCATAAAGAAATTCAACTAGATGACAGAGAAACAAATAGTATGCCTGGGTTCACGGAGGACAGAGTGACTCTAGGTTTTATTTTGGAGGGAGAGAGTGACTTAAAGTTCTAGTATTCTGGTATGTGTTTAGTTACCTATTCTCAGTGCCAATGGTGAGATAATGTCCACATGACAATTATCATTTAGATCAGAGAGTGGTTCGGAAATGATGACCATTAAAATAAACACTACTTACATAGGGCTGAATTTTCTCCTCCAACAGGCACTACAGTTCTTTACTGAAGTGGTTTTTCCAATGGAGTACCTAGAAACTATTTTTCTGTAACACAGAGAATGAACACATAAATTGAAGAAACTATAAGTCAATGTACTGTCACTTCTTGTCAATTCTCAGCTTTCATCAAACCTAATTCCCAGCCATGGAAACAGAGACTCAAGCATACGGGTGGACAAAGTTGGTTTACAACCATCCTATGAGCTCTACTTCTCCTAAAAAGATTTGCATTCCAGGCTGGATGCAGTGGCTCACGCCTGTAATCCCAGCACTCTGGGAGGCTGAGGTGGGCGGATCACCTGCAAGACCAGCCTGGCCATCTCTTATTAAAAATACAAAAATAAGCTGGACATGGTGAGGGCATACCTGTAATCCCAGCCACCCAGGAGACAGAGGCAGAAGAACAACTTTGCATTCCATGATGTGGTCCCACCAAAGAGGAATCATCACTTCAGTTGATGTGGACACTCCCCAAGCCACACATTACATATAAGTCTACATGTACAAGAGTTAACCCAAGTGGTTACATAGGCAGATTTCTATAACTGGACTCCAACAGAGAGAGAGGGTGGTGAGGTAAAAATAAATGGGGAGCCCGTATGTGAAGACCACTTGACTCCGAGTGATGTGGCGTTCTGGCTCATTATCATCTAGTTTGTAGCAGGTCTAAAAGGAATGAGTTGAGCTCAGAGTCAATTCCGCCCTAGTGAAATGGAGGAGCAGGGCACAGAGTGTGCCCTTCCTCTATATGAACTACAAGGCAGTTTATGTTCCACTGGCTAAGAGAAAGGTTTCTTCAAAAATTTCACATGATTATAGGTCAAACATTAATATCAAGTAAACTCAAAAGACAGAGAGACTAGCATTACTTCTGGGAAAACCAGAGTGTGCATTTTTTTGGAAATAATCATTGGCAGCACATACCTCAGAATATCCAAAGGAAATAAAAATGAGTTTCTAACTTACATATTTCACATTTAAATTAAGATATAAATGATGCTAATGAAATCCAGAAATCCAATTTTACTGTTTTTAATGTTCACTTTTTAAAAAAATAGACATCTGTATCAACGATCCCAGTAATAGTCACCAATTAAGTCTTTATTATTTAAAAGCAAAATCCACCTATCTCCTTAACAGTATCCACTTTACAAGTCCCCTTATGTGTACTGGAAACAAGATTCAGAAATAAATGTACATATATATGTATGTACATATATCTTTCAAATGAAAAAACTTTCAGATAGTGATATTACAATACATTTAGAAATTAATAACATAAGCAAATTATATTATTTGGAACTCTCCCAAAGGTACGGAATTTATAAACCATCTCAGATGCGGAGCCGGACAGGTTAAAAGTAGGAACGAAAGCCGGCGGAGCAGCCCACCCGCGAGGTGACCAGGGCAGGGCCCCGGCCGGTCCCGACCCCTTCCGCCCTGGGCTCGACCCGTCCTGCGCCTCAGCCTCTGGGCTAACGCGGAGCCCGAGCGCGCCTCACACCGTCGCGACCCAAAGGCGGAGTGCGGGCTCGCGAGGGTCCCCACCCTACTCCGGCTCCCGCCGGCACCTACGGACTCGTGTCCCCGCCGCCCGCCGACACTGGAGCAGCGCCGCCCCAGGCTCAACAGCCTTACGAGCCTCGCTCTTACCTAACAGGATGTTGGGTGGAAGCAGCGCGGCCCCACGGAGCACCGCAGGCAGTCAAAGGAAACCGGACGCAGACTCGCGCTTTCAGCCAGGCGGGGAGACAGGAAGTGCCGAAAACGCGGGGCGAGGCGGAAGCTTAGGATGCGCCCCGCCCCTTCCCGAGACCCCGCCCCTGCCCGGCCCCGCCTCTTTGCCGCCCCACTGCATGCACTGGCCCCGCCCCTCGCGCGAGGTGGTTTTTTTTTTTTTTTTTTGTCGACCCGGAAAGGGATTCTCCGGAGCCCAGGTCCGCTCGGGTGAGTGCGCTGCGGTATTTGCGGCCCAACCATGCTATGCAGCCCCTTCCCGCGCCGTCCTCCACACAGGGGGTCCGCGGGTATCCGCGGACGTCACAAGCTCGGCAGCCGCCCTCCCGTTGGCGGGGAGCCCCGCGGCGCCCTGAAATGCTCCGAAGCCTGTCGCTCAGCTGCCAGATCTGAGGCCCCTGTCCGGCCCTTCCACTCTAGTTCTCTTCCCCGTCGGCCCGTCCTGTCCGCGCCGCGTCAGGGCCCCTTTCGGCACGCGGCTTGTCTCCCATCGTCCCCAGACTCGCTCCTCTCGGCCCCTCAGGGCAGGCCTGGGATTCGGCACACGTCGATCCTCCCCTCGGCCAGGCTCTCCGTTTCCGCAGAACCCCTGGCTTTGGGGTCACCGCCTCAGACAGGACTCTCAGTCCGGGACTGGGACAGGGGACCTGCCCAACCCTATAACACCCCGTGTCCTTCTGCACAGTCAGCTCCACTGGCAGTGACTGTCGGGTGTTTACCTTTCCCATGTCCCACTTGGAAGTGAGCTATTCCTTGGCATGGGCTTCTTTGCATCGCTGAGGATGTCGAGATGGGCAGGGGAGTGAGTAAAATACAGCGAAGAGAGAGGTAGGGCCAGCGAGGAAGAAAGGGGGAGGGAAACTTAGAAGATGGGAAGTGGATGGGTCTGAAGAATTTAGACAAACTGAGAATGAAGGAGAGTGACCTGAGCAGGAAGTAGTGACATAAATGGAAATAGACAAGACGGGAATCAGCAGAGATGTGAAGGAGGGCAGAATGCAATGAGAAGGCCTTGACCATCACTAGCAGAGGGGGCAGCAAAAGCCTAATTCCCAAATTCCTTAGATGGCTTTCTGATTTCCAAGTTACTTTCCCTTTTAAATTTGTTGTCAGGTTCAGATTAAGAGACCTCAATACTTTTCAGTCTTAATTATATATTGAAAATAGTTTTTGTTGTTTAACAAATACTTTTACACTAATTCAGTGTGCACTTGGTAAGGATATTGATGATTTGAGTTGGTTTAATATTCAACAGCTTCCTCTCTTCCTTTGTATGATCTTTGTATTTAATGGCTGTGGGATAAAGTTCCCAACTAAGTGTAAGTATCAACTTTTCTTTGTGCCATTGTCTGCAAATATTGCAGGTTGGGCTAGATTGTCCTAGAACTTGTTCCAGCAGATTCCATCTGTTCATAATGAATACATTGCTCAAAGGTATTTCCAGAGCTGACGTTTTTATATTTTTCTGTTCCAACAATTAGATATTTTCAATTTTTATGTTTTTGGATGACTTAATGTGATGTTCTGGAAAAGACAAATACTTTTAATCAATATGATTAAAACCATGAAAGACAAATTGCTCTTACTTAAGAGTATGAAATATGATCTGAAATGTTTAGGGGGCAGGGATGATAAGGGAAAACTCCCACTATTGCATCTAAATCATGTCATTCCCGTGAGGCTGATGCTATTTACTCTCTACTGGCTTCTGTCCACCTTTCCACTTGCCCCATGACAAGACTTTTTAAAGTAAGCACAGAACGTAGGTATCTTTCTAATGAGGAGGAGGAGGTGTTGGTTCTGGGAAGGAAGCTTGAAGGAGGAAGGGCAGTGGGATTTGGGTATTCAAGATCCAGAAATGAGAGAAAGCCTGGGAAGCTCAGGAACCAGAAAAAGAAAAAGCCCTGTCTGTTCTCACCCATGACCCTGTGCTCATCAGGTACTAGCAAAGCCTTCAGGCTCTGTGACTAAAAGGGGTCGGAACCAGTTTGTGTACCCACAGCTGCCATGTAAGGGTGTTTTTGGACTTCACTAGGGAAGAAGGGTGTTATGAAGGAAGGGTCAGAAGAACTCACCTGTTCGTCTCAGTGTAGAAGTTTATTGTCCTGAATTCCTGGAGGTTCAGTGAAAAGCAGAAAATTGTCTTTTTAACATGTTGAGTTCTGCCCCCATATATGTGGTTGTGGGAAAAGAAGAGGGTATGTTGATTGGAAGTCCTGAAATGCATGTTACTAATACTCACCAGTGACTTCTCAAGATGGATCTTACCTAAGAAAGAAGCTCAGAGATGAAAAATGGAGAACGATTAGAAATGGCACTTTCACTGGAAAATGTCATGTTATTCATTGATTGTTCTGTCATCTCCCTCCTTAAATGCTGTTTTTAGGATGTGCTAACCTCTGACCCTGCCTAACACATTTCCTAACTCACCCATAGCCTTCCCTTAACCCCCTCCAATCTTCACACTATCTGTCACACTGTAACCCAGTGAATTCGAACTTGTGAAGTTATATTTGGGGGATCATATGGGAAGGGCTTCACACTCAGACATAGATTACAGATGGGAAGCGGGCCCATGGTGCCAGTGAGGCCAGTATGGATCGTTTAGGGATGATGCACTATCAGATCTTTGTGAACCATAATTAGAGAAACTGCATATTAGTGGTAAATCAATATCAGGAATATCTGACAAATCCTGGAAAAGAAGATTGATAAGAGGAAATTTGTTCTGCCTGATTGTATAATGCATTGGAAGCTTAAAACAATGAATCAGTCTGGATCTGGCCTGAAAATATTGATAATTTGGATTATAAGGGAGAGTTTGGAAAATGATAGCTATGACAAGTTCAGGTGGCATTTCATCCACACGACGGAGTGTGTTTTATTCAGTAATTATTTCTTAAAAATGGAATCAACCTAAGTGTCGAACAGTAGGGAGTTTTGGAAATTGTTAACAACGCATCTGTTCCAAGGAGACCTGGATGTTCACAGATTTGTAAAGAATGCTTTCTAGCACACTGACTTCTCTGCAAATGTCTGAGGGTTCCTCTGCCTTGGGTAAGTTGGTAGTTTGATCGCAGGGCATATAAATGGTGCATTTTGTATTGTAATATATTCTAGCAAGATGCAGCCCACAAACTGTATAGATAGTCTTTTCTACCACTAGCACATTAAGTTCATCTACTACTTTAACCAGAGCTTGATACTTTATGTATGTTTTTTGTGGATTTGGATAAAACAACTCATTTTTATTTCCAATTCACAAAGTAATTGTGAGGCTAAATAAATTTTATTGTAGACATATATGTAAAATGGATTTTTTAATGTGACTCATTTTTGATGTATAGTAAATGCTATTTTACATTCTGTGTATACACACACACACACACACTCTCTCTCTCTCTCTCTCTCTCTTTCTCTCTCTCTCTCTCTCTCTTTTTCTCACTTTGGTGTCTTATAATGTTTCTGCAGTAAAACCAGAATCCTTCCTTCATGCCCTTTCATTTTATGTTTTCCTCAGGAAAACAGGAGCTATTTTATATGATAAAATATTATGTTTTATTCAGTCTGCTTATGATATTGTTTAATGTTGTATAAATATTTGTATGACTTATTTTAAATTTTCAAATAACATAGGTTTACTTTTTTTTTCTTTTCACAATTATTATGAAAGTATCCTCAACAAAAATCAAAATTTAGAAAAAATGACTTTTAGACTAATTGTAATTTTTTACATGTGGAAGACCACATGTGACTTTTAAGTCTGGGTTGCCCTGAGTCTGCATTCACTGGGGTTTTATGTCACTCTGTCCTCCAATCTAATAATAAGATTTTGGGCTTTATTCATGTCATTTTTATGTCCTCAGTAAATTTTAAAATTTCTTTACATGGGTCTACAAATTTATTTCAAATGGTACTCATAATATTTTGCAGTTGTAAATAGATAATGATTTTGTATGTTTGCTTCATTTAAGGATTAATGTTACTAAACAGGAAATACTGATTTCAATATATTCAGAATAGATTTGCCCACTTATTAAATGTTCTTATTAGTATTGATAATTAAAGTACAATCTACTTTTTCAAGTTTACAGTCACATTATCTGAGAACAACTACAGTTTCAGCTCTTTGACTCCATTTTTATAGTCCCTCTCCTTTCCCTCTTGTTTTGGTCCCACCGCAGGCATCCTGTGCAGTAGCAAATGGCATCAGTGCCAGCCAACCTTCCTTCCTTTTCCAACCTTACCTTTAGTGGAAACGATTCTTTTGTTAACTGCCAAATACATTTGTTGAAATTTTCTTGATTAAGAAGAATTATTGCCCCCGATTTGATATGATTTTTAAAGATTTTAAATTATTTTCAAAGATTTCGATTACTTAAAAATGTTTTTTCAAGGGTATATTGATGTGATTTTTTTTTAATCTTTAAAATTTCTATATGGAAATATTAGGTTTTCTAGTATGGAATCATCTTTTATTATTGCAATAAACTTCACTTTACAATGTTCTGTCATTATTTGACCAAACCAGTGATGGCCAGGTGACCAAAATAAATAGCTAAATGGCTAAAATTGTAATAATGATTTTTGCAAGTGTAATTAATGAAGAATGTTGGTTAAATTTCTAGTTATTTTTGCATTTATGTTCATTTTGATTAGCATAATAAACTTATGAGGACAGGCTTATTTTTTACCTTCAAAAGAATTTACGATACAAAGGAACTATAAGTGATTTGACATGTGAGTACTCTCACAAATCACTTTTACAGTTAAACTCTGATACATACTTTAAATAATAAAATTGGCTGATCAGATTTTTCTGCTTATTTGTGATTGAAAGATTTTACTGTTTTCTTGAAAATTAATTTATCTTATATATTTAAGTGAAAATATAATTCTTCTCATTTCTTACATTTTAAATGACTGCTTTTAAATAAATACAGTCTCTTTTATTTACCAGTGTTTTCTTCTTTCCCCCAGGGGTCTTTTCAGTTTCATGATTTTGCTCTCAAAACTTTTCAAATATTGATTTCTGTCAAATCTGTTCATTCATTACATTCTTTTAGAATTTAATTCCTTTATCTTTTTAACTTTTATTAATATCTACTAAATTTGTAACAATTTGGAAAGTCCAATAACTCCTGTTTTCTTTTTCTTTCTCTTGATTTATGAGTGTTTTTAAAGTTTCACATTTCTTGAAGATCACAACTATAGCCTTAATTCCATGGTTTTGCCTACTTTCATTTTTCATACTTATTAATATCATGAATGTAACTGAAATACTCCTTTGATTTTATTGGTGATATATGCCCACTACTGTACTGAGGCAGAAAAAAAAAAAGTCTTTAGAACTCAGATAAATTTACAGTGTATATTTACTATTTATGTATATGTGCTCTTTTTATTAAATTCCCCTATCGCGTTTGTGGAATTAGCAATTTCCCTTTGAATTTAGATGTTGTACTTATGTATTACACTTTAGTGAATATCATATTTGGTATTTAATTTTTGCTAGGATTATAGGCTGGACTCTGGATCCAAGATCTACATGTAGTAGATCCACCAAAAACATACCTTAAGCCCCTAGCACTATTTTAATACCCAGAGCCTGGCTGAGCTTCTGCCATCTGTCCTCCTAGGCTCCTTGAGGTCTAGACATCTCATTTGACATAACTCAGCTGTGGCCCTTGGTGGATCTCATCCTTAGTACTACTCCCTGCTGGCAGGGGTGACCCAGGCCCACATAAGCCATTTCTGGGCTCCTTGGAGGACTTAGAGAATCCTGAGATTGCCCATGAGGATGGGTCATGCTTTGCACCCCTTCCAATCTAGCACCCATGTCTCCTGATGCCTTTGGGTATTTAGAAGCTCACAGGGTCCTTGGATGTTCTTATACCTCCATTTTCTACAGTGTGACTCCTATACTCCTGAGCCAAAGTAGAGAATTTTGAGGAGGCTTACGTGAAGATTTATGGTGGCCCCCATCGTTCTGTGAGACTGGTAAAGGGAACAGACCACTTAGACTTCTCCCCCAGGAGAATATGTAAGCTAGTGGAGGAAAGGTCAGTAACGAAGTATGCATTTAGTATACCAGGCTGTCAGAGCAAACATCTAAGGAAAAACAGAGGGCATCTTATTGCAACTGGCCCAGCTGTGTTAGACTAGGAGATATTATACAACCTTGAAAAATCAAGGAGATGTGACCTTACTAAGGAACAAAATTAATCTACAATAATTGACCATAAAGAAATGGAAGTATCTGGCCAGGTGTGATGGCTCACACTTGTAATCCCAGCACTTTGGGAGGCCAAGTTGGGTGGAACACTTGAGGCCAGAAGTTCAAGACCAACCTGGCCAACATGGCGAAACCCCATCTCTACAAAAATACAAAAAAAAACAAAAAAAAATTAGCCAGGCTTGGTGGTGGGCACCTATAATCCCAGCTACTCAGGAGGCTGAGGCAGGAGAATTGCTTGAACCAAGGAGGCAGAGGTTGCGGTGAGTCAATATTGCATCATTGCAATATAGATTCTAGGGCTGAAGAATACAGTAACTGAACTGAATCAATACAGGGCCTCAAGAGCAGACTTTATAAAGCAAAAGAAAGAACCAGTAAATTCAAAGACAGATCATTTGAAATTATGCAATCGGAAGAGTCAAAAAATAAAAATAATGTTTTAAAAAGTGAAGAACCTCTGTCTGACTTTGCTAAAAATTAGAAGTTCCTAAGAACTTCTGTTTGTGTGTGTGTGTGTTTCTTTTTTTTTTTTTCCCGGAGACTTGCTCTTGCAGAGTCTTGCTCTGTCACCCAGGCTGGACTGCAGTGGTGTGATCTTGGCTCACTGCAACCTCCACCTCCCTGGTTTGAGCAATTCTTACACCACAGCCTCCCGATTAGCTGGGATTACAGGCGCCTGCCACCACACCCAGCTAATTTCTGTAGTTGTATTACAGACAGGGGTTCACCATGTTGGCCAGGCTGGTTTTGAACTCCTTATTACCACAGGTGATCCTTCTGCCTCAGCCTCCCAAAGTGTTAGGATTACAGGCTTGAACCACCACACCTGGCAAGAACTCCTTCTTATGTTAGATTTGCTAGAGTTTAGCAGCTCACAGAACCCAGGGAAAAAGTTTACGTAGTATTGCTGATTTATTGCAAAGGACATTTTAAAGTTACAATGAACAGACAGTGGAAGAGTTACATACAGCAAGATTTGGAAGGGTCCTAGGTTTAGAAATTCTGTCTCCATGGAGTTGGGATATGCCATTCTTTCCGCATGTGAATGTGTTCTTCACCTACCAGGAAGCTCTTTGAATCCCATCATTCAGGGATTTTTATGAACTGTTCATCTAGTATGCATAATTGTTATCAACTCAATCTCCAGCCTCTGACCCTTTCCCAGAGGATAGGGGATGGGACTGTATGTTCTAGGCTTCTAGTCATGTCTTGGGCTTTCAGGTGATTGCCCCACATGTTAGAGCCCAATAATAATTGTCTCATTAGAACAAAAGACACTCCTATTACCCATGAAATTCCAAGGCATTACAATTTCTGTTGGGAACCAAAGTCAAAGACCAACTAGAACAAAAACTTATAGCAACTCTATTGCTTAGGACATTGCAAGGGTTTTGAGGGAGCTCTATCCCAGAAACTGGGGATGAAAACCAAACTATGTATTTCTTATGAATAACAATGTCACTTATATGTTCATGTGTTCATGTTGTTAGTGTCCTTTCATGCAACTTGAGGAACTCCCTTTAGCATTTCTTGTATGTCACTTGTAAAGTGGGTCTTTTAAGATATCCACCATCGTAAATGAGATTTAAAGCTGCTTGGTAGATAAATTCAGCATGGATTCATCTAAGGTCAGACTTGAGGGAGTGGTATTTCTAGAAGCCTCACATGGAAGAGAGAATCATTCAGAACAAGTGTATCCAGAGGACCAGTGGAAGGGAGAAGGAATGGAGGGAGGCATCTGAGGGCTGAGATGCCTGTGGAGAAAGCCTACAAGCACACAAACCAAGAATAACTAAATCTGAGAAATTCCAGGATTTCTCTGTAGGTGGTGACCACGTCTACATCATTCAGGGATTCTTAGGATTTGGAATCAGAGGGAATTGAACATTTCAGAATTCCATGGGCTAGGTAGCACATGAAACTTAATGATTTTCATATATCTAGCTCTAAAATCAAGATGTTTTTTATCTTTCTTGGTAAGAATAGTCATTATCTTTCTTCTGACCCTGGAAGAGGAGAGACACCAACCCAACCCACCCCCCACCCACTGCATGTCCTTGTTGGTTGGACTGGGGCTCCCGGCTTTGGGGCAGATGTTGTAAGCAAAACTGGAGTGTCATGGTTTCTTCTTGCTCAGATTTGTCTTCTTAGTGCTTGGATGGTGTGAGTGAAAACCCAGAGGAATACAGTTGGTGGCTGAACTAGTATGATGCCATCACAGGTGAGTGGGAAATTCCTCTTTCTACTGAAATATGTCCCCCTGTTACCAGCCTATGGACAGATTCATCTTATTAACATGAATGTTCTAAGTGTACTCAAGGAGCTCCGATTAAGAGTCCCCAGGGATTTGGAATGGTTACATTGGCCCAAAGAGTCATCAAGAAATAATCTCTTTTCAACAATTCGCTAAGGCATTCTGGCCTCTACTAAGGCTATAAATTCTTAGAAGAGACGTGAGAAGTTTTTGTTTCTCCTATCCAGTCTCAGGGAAATCATTCATTACCAGCCTCTCATGGCCTCATTGGGGAAATAAATTCACTCATACCCATGTTATTGGCAGGAATGGGCTTGAGAATATAGTGAGGGTAGGTGGTGAAAATGAGAGCAGAATGTGTTAGCTCATACAAGGCAGATGTTTTCCCAAGCGAGCCCAATTAGTCTAGTATTTCAGGTGCTAGGGGAGGCATGTTTAACTTAAAGTGAAAGCAGATAGGGTTAGGCCAGAGGAGACAGTGAGGAATTATGTATTTATTTTTCCTATCTAAAAATCTTAATGTGTTGATAGAATATATGTGTGCCTTTGAAAAACTTAAAAGACAAAACTAAAATTCTTATTACCCTTGTCCCCAAATTAACCTCAAATCAAATTTGATAACTGGAAGCAATGTATCAAATTTGATAAGTAGAAGCAGCTAGAGTGTTATTTCTTTAATTTTGTTTGTGCATTAAGTGATGGAATATAGGAAATAGTACATTTAAAACCCTGAGGAAATTTTTTAAGTGGAGAGGCCGGAACATCAAAGGATTTCTTTTACCCAGAAATATAGAGACAACACGAAGAAACATAAGAAAACGGTACCTAGTGCATTAGTCCGTGTTTACACTGCTATAGAGAACTACCTGAGATTGGATAATTTATGAAGAAAAGAGATTTACTTGACTGACACTTCTGCAGGCTTAACAGGAAGCATGACTGGGAGGCCTCAAGAAACTTACAATCATGGTAAAAGGGGAAGCAAGCACCATCTTCATAAGGCAGCAGGAGAGAGAGACCAAACTGGAAAATGCCACACACTTTTAAACCTTCAGATCTACTGAGAACTCACTATCATGAGAACAGCAAGGGGGAAGTTCACCCCCATGATTCAGTCACCTCCCAACAGGCCCTCCCCTGACATGTGGGGATTACAATGCAAGATGAGATTTGGGTGGGAACACAGAGCCGAACCATATCACCTGGTGTTTGGAGGTCCCAGAGGAAATTGAGACAGGAAGTCCTCAGACCATGGGAAGTGTCAGGATGAGACCGTCTTTCAGTACTCAAGTCTTAGAGGCCCTGGCTTGTGCTGCTGAGCCATTCATCCTTATCCATGTTTTGAGACTGGCTCAAAACAAAAAAGAAGCTGCATGTGCTGATGTCAAGTTCTGTATGAAAGTTGTTCAGTCAACTGAGTGTTCTCAGTCATTTCATGAGTAATATGTTTGTACCTTGTATCTAAAAATGTTTGATACATAGGAACCAGTTTACATATTACCTTATTGGATCTTTTGCAACTCATAAAAGGTCTTAATTTTATTCTTGAGGACACTGAGTTCTGGTAGGGGAATATCTAACTACAGTCATGATTAAAATGTGACAAAGTAGGCTAGGTATGCTGGCTCACACCTCTAATCCCAGCACTTTGGGAGGCTGAGGTGGGTGGATCATAAGGTCAGGAGTTCGAGACCAGCCTGGCCAACATGACAAAAACCCTAAAACCCCATCTCTACTAAAAATACAAAAATTAGCTGAGTGTGATGGCAGGTGCCTATAATCCCAGCTACTCAGGAGGCGGATGCAGGAGAATCGCTCGAACCTGGGAGGCAGAGGCTGCAGTGAGCCAAGATCATGCCACTGAACTCCAGCCCGGGCGACAAGAGCAAGACTCCATCTCAATAAACAAAAATGACAAATTATGAATACTGCCTCCTTTGTGATGAGTCTGTGGATTTTCATGAAGGTGGTGGAGAGGAGAATTTTAGTTCTAAATTTCTAAGTGCAGATTTTATAATTAGTATCTAGAAGTTATACTTAGAAATCTATTGGGAAATCTTCAGGTTATATGCCACACTTCATGTGATTTTTCTCTATGTGAAGTTTTCTCTCTGTGGATATCTGAAAGCCAGACTCCCAATTCATATTTAAAGCAATGGGTGGGACAGGAACCCCAAACACTGTTTGAGTTTTCTGTTCATACCACCCACCCTTCCTTAATACAGTCACTTTGATCATGCTCCACTGAACATTGGCAAAGATAGCACTGCTTTAAGTAGAATGTCCATAATGTTTTAGGATTTCATGACCTTTGAGGATATAATTATAGACTTCACTCGAGAAGAGTGGGCCCTGTTGGACACTTCCCAGAGAAAGCTGTTTCGAGATGTGATGTTGGAGAACATCAGTCATCTGGTCTCTATTGGTGAGTCTCTTTATGTTTATTATGTATGTATAGATGTATTCATTCACTCACCCATGTTTTACCGATTGATTCGTTCATTCTACATGTGTCTAGAACAGCTTTCTCATCTATTACTTCACCCTCTGCCTTGATCCTTTTATAACTCACAACTACCTGACAGCCATTTGTTTCCTTTTCACTTATATTGTCATCTCTCTAGAATGTCATCTTTCGACCACAATTTCACATCCTTCTTACTCTTCACTCTCCCAAACTCAGAAAATGGGAATACCCTGCTTTTGAATGCATAATTAAAATAATTATTCTATCATAGGGACTGTTCTGCACAGAACCTAGATTGTTCTGGTGCAGCTAGTGTTTACTGAATTTTTTTTGAGATGGAGTCTCACTCTGTCACCAGGCTGGGGTGCAATGGCACAATCTTGGATCACTGCAACCTCCACCTCCCGGTTTGAAGCAATTCTCCTACCTCAGCCTCCCAAGTAACTGGGACTACATGGACGTGCCACCACGCCCAGCTAAGTTTTTTGGTTTTGGTAGCGATGGGGTTTTACCATGTTGGCCAGTTGGTCTCAATCTTTTGACCTCGTGATCTGCCCATCTCAGCCTCCCAGAGTGCTGGGATTACAGGCGTGAGCCTCCATGCCCAATTAGATTATTTTTTAATATAATATCAAACACTGTGAAAACCTGTAATTTCTCACTGATTGAAAATACTCCAGATTCTGCAATACATCTTTCAAGTTAGGCATGGACATCAGCAATTATAGATCTTTTATGTCTGGGAACGAGTTCAAGAGTTTTCCCTTTGCTCATGAAGGACTGTCAATGTTGTCTTCAAGGTACTCTTCCCAGGCTGATCTCCAATGGCTATCTTACCCTTTCCAGTAGCCTGCCCTGTACTTGATAACCATGTAAAGTTGTCAGCATAGAACTCAAAATCCATGTGTCTTTTTCCCAAAAACAGGCAATCAATTCTGCAAATCAGTTGTGTTTTCCCAAGGAATAAGCTTACTGCAAGGTGAGCTATAAGAAACAGTGCTTCAATAGGAGGAGGAGGAATTTGGCCAGTGAGTGAGTAGGTCCCAACAGTTGCCAAAGGAAGATTTCTTGTGTTTTTTTTTTTTTGTGATAAAAAAATCTTGCTCTGTCACCCAAACTGGAGTGCAGTGGCACAGTCTCAGCTCACTGCAACCTCTTTCTCTAAGGTTCAAGTGATTCACTTGCCTCAGCCTTCTAAGTAGCTAGGACTACAGGTGTGTACCACCACACCCAGTTAATTTTTTTTCTATTTTTAGTAGAGGGGTTTCAGCATGTTGGCCAAGCTGGTCTCAAACTCCTGACCTCAAGAAATCCACTCACCTCAGCCTCCCAAAGTGCTAGAATTACAGGCATGAACCATCTTGCCCAGCTGGAAGTTTTCTTAAATTTGCAGTGTTTTTGAAGTGTAAGCAAAAGCTTAAGGGAAACATTCCTCAGATATTGTCATTATACTCTGTAGGTATCCATTTTTATTCAAGTGTCTCTCTGTCATTGTCTGGGTTTTGTAAAGGGGATATTTCTGAACTCAAGTTTAACTTGAGTTAAACTATCACAAAATGGCATTTTGAAATGGTCCTCTTCTTTGAAAATTTTTCTTCCTTCTTCAACTTGCCTTCTTAATTTTTTATATGCTAAAAATGTCAGTAATCAATGTTCTATAATACTCTTCTCCTTAAAGTATTGTTAATTTGACATGCTTTCCTTGTCTTTATGTATTTAAGACACTCAAATGGACTTCAGAGCTATTTGACATTGTTATTCCCCTAATGCCGATATAGCATCTTTTTTTTTTTTTTTCATTTATTTCAGGTAAAGAAGGTGACATTAAACATCAAGAAATACCATTCATTCAGCATATTTATCAGAAGGACACATCAACCATCAGCACAATGGTAAGCTTTATGCATGTAAACCCTGTTCCTCCAAATATAAACCTGGAAATTGAACAAGTTTGGAATTTGGTACAGGTAGCCAACTGTACTCAAAGCTGTCCCAGCAGAAAGTTTTAGTTTGGATTTAATGAAAAAATTAACTTGAAATCTAAACCATAACATGAGGCCTTATAACAGGACAGTTATATAAACATGACTAGGTACTGAAGTTTTCAAACATCATAAAGTCTTAACAACAAGTCAGATAGCTCTTCATTGGGATACTACAACAGAAAAACTCTACATGCAGTTACATAATACAAGAACAATTGTAACTGGAGTCTACTACTGAATGATTATTTTAGAATGAATATGTACAGAAATGAAGTAATGAATGAATGAGTATGGATAAATACTTTAATAGTCTTTCATTTCCTTCCCAAAACCAGAGATCTCATACTCAAGACGATCCTTTTCTATGTAATGATTTAGGAGAAGATTTCACTCAACATATACCATTGACTCAAAATATGGTTACTTACATGAGTAAGAAACAATTTGTAAGCAAAATGTTTCGGAAAACCTTCAGTAACCAGTTATCCTTTAATCAACACAAGCAAATTTACACTAGGTATAAATCATATGTAAGTCATCTATTTGATTATGCCTTTATGCAAAGCTCTGACCTTAGACCACACAATGTGACTCAAACTAGAGAGATAACTTTGGAATGTCATGTGTGTGGGAAAACCTTCAGCAAAAATTCAAATCTTAAGCGACATGAGATGATTCACACTGGAGAGAAACCACACAGATGTGATCTGTGTGGGAAAGCCTTTACTCATTGCTCTGATCTTCGAAAACATGAGAGAACTCACACTGGAGAGAAACCATATGGATGTCATCTATGTGGGAAAGCCTTCAGTAAAAGTTCTAACCTTAGACGACATGAGATAATTCACACTAGAGAGAAAGCGCAGATATGCCATCTATGTGGGAAAGCCTTCACTCATTGCTCTGACCTTAGAAAGCATGAGAGAACTCACTTAGGAGATAAACCATATGGGTGTCATCTATGTGGAAAGGCCTTCAGTAAATGTTCTTACCTTAGACAACATGAGAGAATTCACAATGGAGAGAAACCATATGAATGTCATCTATGTGGAAAAGCCTTCTCTCATTGTTCTCACCTTAGACAACATGAGCGAAGTCACAATGGAGAGAAACCACATGGATGTCATCTATGCGGGAAAGCCTTCACTGAATCATCTGTGCTTAAACGACATGAGAGAACTCACACTGGAGAGAAACCATATGAGTGTCATATATGTGGGAAAGCCTTCACTGAATCTTCTGACCTTAGACGACATGAGAGAACTCACACTGGAGAAAAACCATATCAATGCCATCTCTGCGGAAAAGCCTTCAATCACTCTTCTGTCCTTAGACGACATGACAGAACTCACACTGGAGAGAAACCATATGAATGCAGTATATGTGGTAAAGCCTTCAATAGAAGTTATAACTTTAGACTTCATAAGAGAGTTCACACTGGAGAGAAACCATATGTTTGTCCTCTATGTGGAAAAGCCTTTAGTAAATTTTTTAACCTTAGACAGCATGAGAGAACTCACACTAAAAAGTAATGAATATTTAAGAGTCATCAGTCATAGCATTAACCCTAAATACACGAGAGTACTAACATATTACAGGAAAATTTTGTCTGTAATCAGTGTGGAAAAAGACTTTATTTATAAATTACCACTTCATTCTACCTAAATTTAAGGTAGAAAGAATCCATATGTATTTCATCTATATGGCACAAACTTCAGACTCTGGGCTGACCATATACAACATGAGAGAATGAAACTATAGATCAAAGAAATATGGAGGAATCTTCATCCACAGCTGTAACTGTTAAACAAAGGGGAGAAATCATGTCAGAGAAATTCTATGCCTGTCATCAATGCAAAAATGCCTTCATTGATAACTTACCCTTTAAACAAATGAGTAAAATCCACAGGAGAAAAACCATATGTCTGTAATTGCTGTGCACTGTCATTCAGCTAAGCACCAATTTTGGTGTGTGCCAGAAAATTCATTATCAGGTAACTGATAAAACAGTAAACATATGGAAATATTTTTTATTAGGTGGATGAAGGTTCTTGAACAATTCCAGAAACTCGTAGTGGAGAAGTTATTCCATGAAAACTTGTGAGAAATCCTTTTCTTAATAGCGCAGCACTTGTATGATAGACCACAATTCACATGTGGTAGAACTCTCAATGTCATGAATGGAGGGTAGTTCTCAGTAAATTACTCATTCCTCAATCAATAACAGCATTTTTCCATTGAGAAAACAATCTTGACATGATAGTGGGAAAAGCTTCAGGCAGCTTTTATGTCAAAAAGGTCAGACAGGAAAGAAAACTCTAAAAAGCCATTTATGAGATGTATAGCTGGGGGATAAGAAATCAAACCATTAAGCCTATGCTTGAGGGAAAAAAAAAGTATAGTTTTGAACAAAGACTTTCTACTGAAAATATGTAGGATGAAATGTACAATTCTGAAATAACCTGGGAATACTGAATGCAGAATTATGTAAGAAGTAATAAGACTAAATTAGTACTGTCAAAAGTGCAAGCATTAAGTGTTGTTGCTAAATAATAGGTTGATTAAACTCTAGGTTCTTAATTAAGTTTTAAACACATAGATCAGGGTCAATTAGAAAATAGGACCCTGCATGGTGGGTCACACCTGTAATCTCAGCACTTTGGGAGGCTGAAGTGGGTGGATCACTTGAGGTTAAGAGTTTGACACCAGCATGGCCAACATGGTGAAAACCCATCTCTACTAAAAAAACAAAATTAGTTGGGCATGGTGGTATATGCTTGTAGACGTAGTTAGGAGGCTGAGGCAGGAGAATCGCTTGAACTTGGGAGGTGGAGCTTGCAGTGAGCAAAGATCATGCCACTGCAAGCCACTCCAGCCTGGGCAACAGAGTGAGACTCTGGCTCAAAGCAAAAAAGACAGTGACATTCAATGGAACCAATACACATAGAACACAAAATTATGTGTCGTAACTATATTAGTGGTATATACGTACATGGTAATTAAATCAAACATGGATTATGAGGCCAGGTGCGGTGGCTCATGCCTGTAATCCCAGCACTTTGGGAGGCCGAGGCGGGCGGATCATGAGGTCAAGAGATCGAGACCATCCTGGCCAACATGGTGAAACCCCGTCTCTACTAAAAATACAAAAACATTAGCTGGGCATGGCGGCGCATGCCTGTAGTCCCAGCTACTCAGGAGGCTGAGGCAGGAGAATTGCTTGAACCTGGGAGGTGGAGGTTGCAGTGAGCCGAGGTCGCACCACTGCACTCCAGCCTGGCACCTGGTGACAGAGTGAGACTCTGTCTCAAAAAGAAAAACATGGATTATGAAAGACTCACTTTATAGGTATAGTCTTATGGTGCATAGATTCTCCTGTTTTGTTTTTAAGCCACTTTATCCATGTAACTGACAAAAGCTGTTGTAATTTAATGTCTATAACTTAATGTGTTTAGAGATAAGGATAAGCCCATGAAGCCATCAGTATCATCTTTGCCACAAACATTCATCCTCTCCAAAAGTTTCCTCCCTCATTTATCACTATTTTCTTTGTGATAAAACCACTTATATAACAACCTGTAGCAAATTTTTAAGTATATAATACAGTATTGATAACTATAGGCAATATAAAATTTAACATTGTAAAAATAAAACTAATTACAAATGAATCTACTTAAATAAAAATTGGCGGTGCTGGATAATTGTGGTTAAATTTGCATGAATCTCTCCCAGAATCAGGTTTGAGTCTGATAACAGAGATTTTTGTTGCCATGGGCTTTTCTTTAACAACCTTTCTGTTCTGTGTGTAAATGTTTAATATTCTCACTTCTCCTAACAAGGGCTCTTTTATTTATGGAACCTTATCTTGTGTATTCCTCTCTGGCATTTAAAGCTTACACTTTAAATGAATCTGTTTTTTTGTTTTTCTATTTTTGTTTCATCTTTATTCACTCCATCCTACCTGGAAGCACAAGCCTCACTATTTTGCACAAAACAAAAATTTTAGCTTATTTTTCCTCATGCTAGATAGGTTGTCTTATTCTGGGACTTTATCTTCCCATGATGTTAATTTTCAAATGCATTTTGTTAATTTTCAAACCAGTGTGAATGTGATACATCATTGACTCTCCCCTTTCTCATGAATTCTGCCTCAGAAAACCTTGTCTGAGCAGGCTGCCTTCATGCCTTAAAGCAGCTGTTTCATGTCTTTCATCTAAGTTTTGTTATTGTTAATAGTGGGTTGGTCCAATAAAAGCCACAGTCATGTGGGAACAAAAATGTTTTACTCAAATATTTTAAGCCAAATAATTGTTCATCTGTTTTTACGTGTGAAACATTTAAATCAGAATTTTCACAACAGTGACTATTTCTATAGGAAGAAGTTCTCCACAATTCACAGCTTCAAATCACATTAAATCCATTGGTGTCACCGGCCTCATTTACCACATACCACCATAAGGCCCTGCTCTTTTGGGTTGTAACAGAGGTCAGTACATTTCTCCTTGTGCCGTGTTTCCCCCTCCCAGCCCTGGGTTTCTGTGTTGCTGCCAAGGTATCAGATACCCATAGTGAGAGCATACACATGAAAGCCAGATTTCCTATGATATCAGATTGAGGGGTGGATCATGCAGAAAGTTTTAGGCAAGGCATAGTAAGTTGGGTTGTCAGGTCGTTGCCATGGAAAGGGGAGGTAACCCCCAGGTGTTGCAATGGCAACAGTAAATAGATATGGCACACTGATTGGGATGTCTGGAAAACTGCTTTTGCCCTGGCTTTGTTTTAGCTAGTCCTCAGTCGGGTCCAGTATGTGAGCCCCACCTCTGGAGTCAAGTCCCACCTCGTATCTCATTCTCTCCTCAGAGAGTAGATACTCCTTCTTAATCCTAAGGGTTCTGTAGAAGAGCAGAGGTCTGTATTCTGTAACTGCTTCCTGCTGAGCCCTCATAGCACTGGTGGAGTACAAGTCCCTGGGTACCTCATCTAAGGGGCCCAGATGCAGGTCACTTTTATTCTCTGGGTCAGGAGACAGGATGGATTGGAATCCTTCTGCCAGCATTGTCTCTACCTGGAAGAGTTGTAATCTAGAAGACACAACCTTACTAAGAGGTTAAACAAGCAAGTGACAAACAATAGTACCAAGATAGCTTTGTAAGGTAAAAAACAGATGAGACTTGGGAAGGTACTTTTGGTAGTTAACCGGATATACTTGGAGCCAGTGCCCTGATATCTACGGAACCACTTAACTTGCTCATAGATCTTTTGAATGCTGATCTCAACTTGTCCAGATTTGTTAATATATATGCAGCAAGTTTTACTAATAACTTCATAGACTCCTTGTTCAGCTAGTAAATAATTCAACACTAGTCTCTTATGGAGAACTACATTGGCCAGCAAATCTAAGGACTTGAATTCTCCTTAATGCCTGATATGTGTTGGTGGCTAAGGTTTCTAAGGATTTGAGTCAAGTTCCTTAGGGTTGCTGCTAATCATATCACTGCCCTCATTTCTGCCAGAATTAATTCTATTGCTTGCTTACTTCTGGTATTCTTGGATCTATCACGGTTACAGACAGTAACCCCTGGTGGATCAAGGGTGCCCAATGTACATTCACCTCTGTTCCAAGTTCTTGAGAGACAAAGGAAAGCTATTCCTAATAGAACAGGTGACTCCCTAGAGTTGGGAGTAGTTACAGTTGTGACTTATTCCCATTCATGGCCACAGACAGAAGCCCTACAGGGTGTGATGTTTATTCTTTGCTGCCAGGTTGGGTCTATAGAGATATTTTCCCCGTGTTCCAATGGGGGTGGTTGGATAATCTTTGTTTCCTAGAAGTGGGCAGTACTTCCACCTTCCTGGACTGGACAGTTGTTTCTCCTGTGTATGTTCTGATCCAGAAGGCACCATGTATGTTGTCTTCTCACTTACAAGTGGAATCTCACTGCTGCCTTGGGAACTTGGCAACTAAAGCTGGATCAGAGCATCACAGGGAAGCTTCCACTTTTGTGTCATGAACACAGATGTGAGTGAAAAATATAGAATCATTCATGCAGTGGAGGTATGGATATCTAATTTCCAAGGTCCAGGTAATAGTGCTAGAAGAGGGGTTCAGGTGGAATACATTAAGTGGGGGAGAATTGCGCTTAACTAGTAGGGTTTGATTATTTCAGGATTGCTATGGTTAGTTAGGAGGCCAGGGCAGGGTGTTCATAAGATTTTCCAGATAAGCCATAAGATAGAACTCTATCCTAGGGATGTTGATGACAAATCTAGCAACTGTGAAGATGATTCCTTGATGCTATAATTTTTGAAATCTTTACTGTAGAGTTATGCTCTCACCCACACTGGATCATGGTAATTGGGAGAGCAAACAGCATTAACAGTGACACCATGGTGTCCAGTTAGGAATTAGCACAGCCTCTATATCCAACAATGACAAAACAGGTGTTTCCCAGAAGTTGGCTAAAGCAACAGAAAAAAAAGTTCAATCAAGAAGAAGAGAAAAATACCTGATAGTGGCCCTTCTATTTGGGTTGTAATTAATCTTCAGAGGATTTTTCTGTCCAAGTTTTCAGAAAGACTACATCTGCTTGAATATGGGGGTTTGTTTCCATATGCTTCGAGGACCTTTTGAACCTGGCTTAGTTCTTCAGGCAATGGGGAAAGGGGCCAGGGCATGTTGGATAAGGGGGAGGGGTTCCTGGTGTCCTTGGAGTGGAATTCTGTGCTAGAGAACTAGTGAGTCCCCCTCAAAACTAAGAGGACTGGGGAGACTCTAAAGCGGGAGCACCGACCTGCAGCTTCTTGGTGCATGAGAGTATCATGAGCCAGACATTTTCTAAAGCTAGCCCTTAGATTAGGATCCTGGTACCGGGAAATAAAAGCCTGCATATAGAAAACTTTTTCCCATTTTATTTCCTTTTTATACAACAAATCTAATTGTACAATATCATTATAATGTAAACAACCATGTCTAGAATAAATATGTTGGTTTATCAATTTTTACTGAATCCAAACATCATTGCAACAGTAAACAAGGTTTTCATTTTCAGCCTAACAATTTGAACCTACTCCAATGGCCTAAAAGACACCAGAGTGGCGAGCCTTTTGGAATGCTTACTGTTGTCCCTGCGTCTAGTAAGGCTCACCACAAAGGGTTTTAGTTAGCCTAACTTTAGCAAATGCCTGCTTACTTTTCCCTTTTTATTTCCCTCTTTCCATAGCTACCAGGTGGATTATGAGCTTCAAATGGGTGGTTGGATGTTGATCCTAAATGCCACAGAAAGCAAGGATTAAGTAGACAGGTAGGCCAAACAAATGGAAGGGAGAGACTGTGAAAATGAGAAAGGGAAGAGGTAAACAGTGTTGCCCAAGGGGAGACCTCAGAGGTGTTAACCTGCTGCAGAACCTATCCAGTAGCAGAGACACTGAAGAAAGTATTCACATGGCCAATTGTCTACCGCTGTAGATGGTTCTCTATCATGCCAGGGGCCTGGGAACTCTCAATTCCTTTGACCAAGAGTGTCTTGAGGAAACTAGTTGGAAAACAGCACACAGGAAAAGCTTAGCAACTTGCTCTTAGGCAAAAACTTACACGGCAGAAAAGGGCAAGACCCATACTCCCCCAGGGAGAGGGCTGTAACTCACATATCTCTCATAATCCTAAAAGGAATGTCAACACAAATTCCCCAGAGCATCTGGTGAAGTGACCCCAATGCTGAAAACTCAGAAGGCCCAAGTTTCAGGCAACAAGGGTCCCCTCACCAAATACTGAAAACCATGGGGCACGCAGGAGGTGGCCAACAGTGAATCCAAGATGAAGTTGGGGGTCACAAAACAACATGACTCGCATCCAAATGTAAAAACGGTGGGTACCTCTCACAACCAAGCATCCTGCCTTAATTGCCCCCACACAATGAAAAGAAAGTTAAAACCAAATGTAAGACTGTAAACATGTTAGGACTGAAAATAAAATAATTAATGGAACAATAAAATGGAGTCTGAAGAGGACTCAGGGAAGGGGTAACAAGGACGTGCTCTAGCCAAAGGCTTTTATTTCCTAGTTCTTCTGATACTATGGGGGTAGGGGCAGGAGGGACACTCACCCATCCACCAGAGCAGATATGGTACTGACTGATCTTCCACATGGGACCCAGGTGAAGATCCCCCCAGGATATCTCAGCTTGGGTGCGCTTGACTGCCACAATGGGTGTGGCTGGCACAGGAGCCAGTAACCCACTGGTCTGCCAGTCAGAGAGGTACGTGTCACATAAGGTGGTGACACTATGGCTTCCCTGCTGGTAGGCTCAGCTGCTGCAGTGGGAGGGGCCTGCACTGTGTCAGTAACCCACCAAGCTGCTGGTGGGAGTTGTAGGCCCCACGTCAGGGAAAATGATGATTTTTGAAAAGAGCCTTTGGTTTATGTTACAGCTCAGGTGTTACAGCTAGGCTTCACTGCCTCTCCACTCCTGGTCCCACCAACTGCCATCCTGCTGATCACTGTCCCACTGACCATCTCACTGATCACTGACTGCTGCTAGCCTATTGCCAATTGCTACCTCACAGACTACTGCTGGCCAATCACTGATTTGCAGACTGCTGCTGGCCAATCACTGATTTGCAGACTGCTGCTGGCCAATCACTGATTTGCAGACTGCTGCTGGCCAATCACTGATTTGCAGACTGCTGCTGGCCAATCACTGATTTGCAGACTGCTGCTGGCCAATCACTGATTTGCAGACTGCTGCTGGCCAATCACTGATTTGCAGACTGCTGCTGGCCAATCACTGATTTGCAGACTGCTGGCTGCTGCCTTGCAAACTGCCATCCCTTAATCGCTAACTGCCATCTCCCATGACACTGTCTTCTTTCTTCGTGTCATGTTGGGTTCCAAGCTGATGCAAGGCAGGTGAGCCCCATAGTGGGGTTTAGCCCAGAAGGTGCTTGGCTTTGCCCAGGAAATAATTCAAGGGCAAACAGAGGTCAAAGCAAACAGCTGTATTGAAAAGGCAATGTTACAGCTCCCACAGGGTTACAGATCCGTGACTGCTCTTGAAGAGCAGGGTTACTCCATAGGCAGAGAGTAGCCGTTCAGGGCAGTTCTGCAGTCAAATTTATATCCACTTTTAATTGCATGCAGATTAAGGGTGTTTTACGCAGAAAAGTCTAGGGAAGGAATAGTGACTTTTGTGTCATCAAGTCATTCCCTTGGAAAGGTGTGGTAACCTAAGTCAGCTAGAATAAAGATGGTGAGAACAGCAACCTTCACTACTCATTATGCA